TGAGTTTTTAAACATGGATTCTCAAACTCTACGCTATGAATAATTGTTATTCTTACCCTTCGCTGTAATGTGAATGTTAGGGGAAGCGGGGGTAAAATGTACATACGGGGTAAAAATAACAATTGACGATTTTAAGTGCTTTTTCATTCAAATATCAATCAATTCAACGCACAGGTCTTTCATCCAATGTACATTTTAATTCATTTGCATTAATATAATAAACTCCTACTAGGAATTATTCGTTTTGAATTGCTGTTTGCTGGAAAAAATCATTTTTACCACGGAAAACCTGTTTCTTTTTTTTTGCAATTGTAAAAAAGACATTGCTTCATTGTCAGCAACATTTATTCTTAGGAAATAAAAAATAACATCGTCAATTGAAAGGGACATAATCAGCTCTATCAGCTTTTGTTTTGGATTGTCGAAGAGGCAGTTTGGATTCCGGAAAGGGAGAGAGCCTAGAAGACGTCCAAACAGAATGAGGGTCCCTGACTACCTGTGCAGGATTCTCAGGAGTTACGTACAGAGCCTGGTTCTGGTGTACGAGACAGATATGGGACAGAGATCGATTAGAATCACAACGGGAATTCCACAAGGCTCCATCCTTGGTCCAACGCACGCCTTTGCCTTGAAGCGCGTGTTGAAATACCTGGGAGTGATGATCGATGACCGCCTTAACTTCAACAGCCACGTCGAATATGTCTGTGAGAATGCTTGGAAGGCCATCAACACAATAGCTAGAATCATGCTGAACAACTCTATTCCCAGCAATATCAAGGGGCGTCATCTGGCTCGATACTGAGGTATGGAGGTTCAACCTGATTTGCAGCACTGGAAACGAAGCAGAACCAAAGGAAACTGAGCAGTACGTTTCGGCTCATGGCCATGCGAGTCGTGAGTGCGTACAGAACCATGTCATCGGAAGCAGTATGCGCTATCGCCGGAATGATCCCTATCGATATCACCCGGCGGAGGACAGCGAGTGCTACAGTCGGAGAGAAGCCGGTAGAGTACGGAAAGTGGTGAAAGCGGAGTCTTTGGCAAAGTAGAAATAGGAGTGGAACACGGTGGATAACGGTAGATGGACACATCGGTTATTACCGATTCTTTTGACCTAGGTGAACAGAATACATGGAGCAGTCAACCACCACCGGACGCAGTTCCTGTCTGGCCACGGCTGCCTCAGGAAATACCTGGATCGGTTCGGACACGCAGCGTCACCCCTCTGTCCGGAGTGTGACAACGTGGATGAACCGCCGGAGCATGTGGTCTTCGACTGTCCAAGGTGCGAGACAGTGCGAAGGGAGATGCCTGTCCTTAACGTGGAGAATGTCGTCGATGAAATGTGTCCAGAGGAAGGCACTTGGGATGGAGAGAGGAGCAGCGATCTAGCAACGTCAGCTAGCACTGAGAGTATGAGAAGTGCCAGCCCCCTCGAAGTACATAGTCGCTTCAGCGTGGTCCCGGGGGATCCAGGCAGAGCAGAGAGTAAGGAATGAGCTTTAGTGGAACTACACTAGGCAACTAGTGGATACCACCCCGTGCCATACAGGTCGAGCTTTTTGCCACCCCCCCCCCCTCCCCCTCATTACCAATTTTGAAAATTTATTAGGTTTCAAGATCGCAATAAATTGTCAAAATCATGCTGCATAATTTAGATAATTTTAAGAGGTCCAGTGGCGTCACGTCTACATGTGAAACCTGTGCACGACACAGGTGTAAATAATTAAAACAAATGCATTTAGATTTTTATAGATTTTATGGTCACATTATAGCTGTACTTCTTTACTCCAGACAACAAGTGACCATGAATACACTATTTTAAAGTGTGGTTCAAAAAAATCTTCGATCTTGGTTTGCTTCAAAAAGGATTAAATTCAGTTCGGATGGTCTGCCTAATCCCTAATGCATTGATTCATAAGCATGTCGATAACACTACCATGACAAAACTCGTTAAAAAGTGCACCTGAAGAGGTCCAAAATTTTTAATATTCTTAAAAGTTTCAGAATTTTTAGATCTATCTTAGGACACTAAGCCGAATTGAATATCATGAAACTATCTAAACATATCTTAATTTCATAGAAGTACCAATGCAGTATTGCAGATATCGATGCTTGCTAAAATTACTCGCATTTTTTTAATTATTAGAACTTCGTTGATGTTCGCTAATCCACTTTTCGCAATTTTCAGGAACTTTCCATGATATATCACCTTTTAAACACTCACATTTTCCGAATATTCATATAATTTTTATTCCATTCCAGAAATTCTCTCGGAGCTTCGATGAATTACGAGTTTCTCGAAACATCTTTAAGGTTTCTGCAATTTCCTTGAAATTATTTGAGCTGTCCTTTGATTCTCTGATCTGTATTGATGTTCTCGGAGCTTCTCTGAAGCTATCTGAAGCTCTGTTCTGCTCTGAAATAAATGGAATTCTCGTAAACACCTTTCAACTTCAATGAAATCTCTGGACTGTGAAGTTCCAGAGATATTTCTAAGGTCTCTGTACTTCCCGGAAATTCTCGGAACATCTTAAGTGTTCTCGATTTCTTTTCTGCGCATCATGGAATTTTTCTAAACTCCGATATGAGATCCAATATATGAACTTGTGCATGGAATACGAAACTTCAAGGTATTGAATATTTTAAGATCTTAGACTTTCTAAAGTTAAGTGTTAAACTTTAAAATTGAAAGGATTTGATTGTAAATTTGTTTCTTTAAACCTAGTTGTCCATGTCTTATAAACGTTTACTTTAATTGCTTATAAACATGGAAATTATACGTTAAAGTTTTGGATAAACCTGGAAAACTTGAGGAATTCTCAGAAAGATGATTAAACATCAAAAAGCTCTATAGAAGCACAACATCTTCGAATTGTTCAAAAATTAGAACAAAATGTAGGCATTCATTGGACTATCAGATTCTAAATTCACGCTAAAAATATTGAAAATAGTTACCCAGAAAATTGGGCCTGGATTTTTTTTTAAACCTCAGAAAATTTGTGATCGATCTATGGCAAAAACTTGAAATTTTATGATCTGGCCTAATTTTGAAAGCTTCAATTGAATAAAATATCAAAATATTAGAATTGAATAAAAAATCAAAATATTAGTGATTCCGTCAGCATCAATTGGATAGTGTTAACATTTCCGACTGTTCGCAACTAACACAAATTTGTTACCAAATCAAGCTGTGATTTTATGTCAGTTTTTAAAGGCAAATCATTTACTCTCAAATTGATCGTAAAAAAGATTTTATTGCCTAAATTTGAAGAAATTAATCATGACACTTTAGTCGCTGATTTGAAAATAGTGACCTGTTACCAGTCGGGAAAGTATTACGCCAAACCTGTCTCCATTATCCGAAAAAAAAAATGCATTCTTAGGCCGACAACATAGTAGAAGCGATTCGAAGCGATTCGATTCGTTGGCAATAAGCGGAGCGCTTGCGTGAAAGCACCCTCTATGAGCGTTCTATGGGAATCGCCCAAACCAGCCATAGTGAAAGCGATGCGAAGAGGTGTAAAGCGTTCAGCAAAGCGACAGAGCTGTTCGTGTTGTGTTTTGACGCCTTCGAACGCAAGTGGACTGATTCTAGTGAGGAAAAATGGACACCGAAAATTTGAAGAAATATTTTGCACTGCGCGCGCGACTGTAATGTTTTCAAAAACGCTTTCACTATGTCATAGGTTGCTTCGCTTGCCGCTGCATTTCGCTTTGCCAATTGCTATCGCATCGAATCGCTTCGAATCGCTTCTACTATGTTGTCGGCCTTACACAGTCAGTTTTTGTTTTTGTTGTTGCTGCTAGTGCTGACGAATTTGACATTTTCGAAAACTCCATTCCGAAAACATGAACACAAACCACACAAACACACTAGCGCTGTGAAACACTTTCAGCAATAAAACACCATCAGGAGACCCCTTAACCCCAACACACTCACACTCAAATGCAATTGCGTTCGATCGCTGCTGATTCTGCTTGCGCAGGTATTCGTGCAACACCACCACTACTACTTCACTGAACTGGCCAACTCCGGGAACACCCGCCTCGATGCACAAAAAACACACACGCGTGACGGAGAGGAACAATCTACATACGGTTTCCTCACTCCTACACCGTTAAATGCTACTGCTGCGCTGCTATTGTTGCTGTTATTACTTCGGAGGTCTCTTTTTTTGGCCTAGCCTCGATATGAAAGGAAAAAAAAACTCATCACTCCCTACGAGAGAAAATTGTTCACTTTCCACACCGGAAAACACCTAAAAACGACGGGCCACTCCCGCTGGGAGAACGGTACCCATTCCGGAAGGCACTGCGGTACGCGATTCGCGACGGAAACTGGGGTTTCGACACAGACGACACGCACTTTTTTGAGTTCTGCTGCTGGACGACGGATCAAGGCGAGAACAACTCGCACGACACGACACGGACTTCTTGGATCTGGCTGGATTGAACGAGGAACGAACGAGCCACGGGATGGATGGGCTGAAACTGAACGGAACGAACACATAGGCGCACGATTGTGTCCTCCTCCGTGTGTGCGTGCAATGATGATCGATTGCTGGAAAAACTCGTTGACGAGGGTGAGAAAGCCGTCTCTTTCTAGCACTTGCAGAGATCGCGGTATTTTGGTGTGTTGTCTTGTTTTTACTGCAGGCGATAGAGATGGAATGTTCAGTAGACTGGTAGAATAATTCTATTCGTAAAACCCACTGGGCAGTACTCCACCAGGACCGTCATTGCGCGGTTTACCGTGTTGATATCAGATTATAAAATAAACGGAATAATTCAATCTTCTCCACTGATTTTGAAAGCTTAATAAATCAACTACATATTTTTCAAATAATTTACAGAACATTCACATAAATAATTACTTCCATATTTGATTTTATTATTGAATGAAATGGCGTTTGCTTTAGATGTTTATAATTTATGAATGAACGTTCAAATAAAACAACCGAAATTTCAATCTTAATACGTAACATATATTTGTCGCCTTCTCCAGAGTACAACGGATTTGCCCTGCCACACGCGCGAGCGCACTTCACTTGCCTTCCGACTTGATCTGGACAATTTTCCGACCAACCCAATCGTAATGGCCGCCTTCATCGCAATCGGTATCGCTGCTCTCCTCCGAGTCGGTGGACTCTCGATAGGAACCCAAGCCCGGAAGGATGCCGATTACTTGCATAGCACCACACTTCTTTAGCTTCTTGTTGGTTGTCGATTTGAGTTCTGGTGGCGAATCGCCAGTTGGCACTTCCTTTTGTTTATCATCTTTTTGGTCATTCTTTGTTGTTGTTGTTGTTGTTTCTGCTGCTGTAGTACTTTCATCCTCACGCTTCCGCTTCGGAACCACAACCCCCGCTAGGAACTTCTTCTGTGACATCCGATTCGATGCGATCGGTGCTTTGGCAGGCTTCGGTTTTGATATTTGCTGCTGAATTTGCTGAAAATTATGACACATGTCCTTCAGTCCCGATCATAAAAAAAAATCATCCCCAAAAGCCCTACCTCATCCATTCGCTTCTCCTGCAGGGAGGCCACCTTCTGCCGGAAGTCGGACATTTCCTTTGCTTCTTCCAGCTGTGCTTTTCGTTCGGCATTCATCTTGTTTTGGTCTACCAGGTCCAGAAATTCAACCTCATCGTCATCCAGTGTTTTGATCATGTTCTCTGTACAAATTTCAGTGGTTAACAGTTTAAATCCCAACAATTCCCTCAACCATTTTGTTTATCCTTACTAAGCTTGTGTGTCTCCTCGAACTCAAGGTCCTTTTTCTGTTTCTGTTCCTGCAGCCGCTCGTACAGCGACCGGGAGTCATATTCTTCCTCTGGGGCCTCTAAAACAGAAACACGTGTTTCAGCGATCCAAATGTATCTGAACAATGAAAACTTACCCTCAGGCTGGTCTGCGGTTCGCACTTTTTCCCATTCCTCCTGTCGTTTGCGGCGGGCCTCGGCCAGTTCCGTTTCTGTGACGAAGCCACTGCTCATTTTGATTTCTGATGAAGAGCAGATCCTATCACAGACGCATATAAACAATGCAAGTTTTTAGCCCCTCTGCATCGAATTTCTAGCTAGTTTTTGATACCTACCGGTTCAATAGAATCAAGTTGCTTGGTTAATTGAACTACAATACAATAAGCAAATAAATAGAAACGATTTTTGTGAAAATTCGATAAAATTCGACCGCAGCACAGCTCACGCAAACGCAATGTTTTGGACTTTTTGACGTTTTTCTTCTTCATCGTATGTTGCGTTACGAGAGTTATGTATTTCAAAGAAAGAACACGGCCAATGAGAATATTGTCTATTCGATAGAAATTCAGAAGGAGGGCGCAACTACCCGAATTCCTATTTAACTTGCGAAACGCACACTAAAAAAACTTCTCACATTACAGTAAATAAAATTCAGAATCTAAACGCGTAAGAAAACATTATCAGCTAATCTAGACACATCAATTTAGTCTGTTGACATTTCAAAGTATTTAATTCACCATTCTAATGTTTAAAACATCTTATATTCCATGTAATAAGCTCCCTTTTTATCGAAAGTGTTTTTTTTCTTTGAGTGTGCGTAAAACGTAAGTATTGTGAGGTACTTCTGATTAGCGTGTTGTTTTTGTTGTCAATTATTCTTCACAGTCTGAAATCAGTTTTGTCAATTTGCTCCTTGTTATTGTTTTTATCCGGTGAAAATGGACGGGTAAGTTTATTAAAAATTTACTATGAAATTTAAGACAATTAGTTTATCTTAATGTAGGGTTTATTTTTACAGTTCGTACGGACCGGAAGAATACCTTGAGGAAGAAGATGGTTATCAAGACGGCAACCCACTCGAAGGTACCAGCAACATCGACTCCAGTGCTGGTGGAAATGTTGACGATACGGACATGCCATCAGTACATCAGACAGCGACTCAGGAAATGAACTTTGACATTGAGTTTTCTGGATCGGATGATGAAGGAGTGCAGTCAAAATTCTGCTTCAATGGGATCTATGTTCAGCGTTTATATAAAAGCCAGCTGCGGCCAAAGGAAGTAACCCAAACACTTGTGAATGGGAATTCACTCGAGGAGATACTTCAATGCATTTGGAAACAAGCTTGCAAACTGGTACGTCGACAGGTGATCTTCGAAGAAGAAATTCCTCACTGGTCGGAAAAACAAGATCCAGAATTTGAGGACATCGATAAATTCGTTTCGCTACAAGATACGGTGAAGAAAAAGATCTATGCAACATCACGTATCACACCACGGCTGCTGGTGTCATGGAGGAGCAAATCTATTAAGATATTCGTGTATGCTTATTCCACGAATATTGAATCATTAGGTCAGTATCAATTAGTAATGCGAAGATTGATTGCACCTCAAAACCCTGACCGCTCAGGGGCGCATTCAACTAGGGATGACTCAGTATTAGCTAGTGAGCTACGAAGCAGTCATTCCCACATTGAGGGACACTTCAGTTCCTGGATGCTGTGGGCAAACTTGATCAATTCAGCTCCAGCCCACAACCGTGATCGAATGTTGCAAGCTGAATCTCCTCCTATCGAGTTGTCCAAATACTTTCGCTGGACTGGTGTCTCGGAAGCGGCTCGACTACAATCTGTTCATCGGAGTATGGTTGCTGCCCAAACAAATAATGATGCATGGTGCCGTGATATGACTGATCTTTCGAATGACTTAAACATGGCTCTTAATATCTTGCAAGGAATGAAACAGAAAATAGACAGCATGTCCGCCAGAGGATCGGTGAATTCTGAACTATTTACAGCGATGGAATCGGTTACGCGACCGGAAGAATCAAACCTTAGTCGTGAGATAGCCGAGAAGGTGACTGATTGCGAGGATGTGGATCATGCGGGATGATTATGAAAATAAGCCCGTTGTGTGGAATTATCACATGTACTCTTTTTTTTTATCAAAATATAACAAATATAACAATGCAACTGTTTTAAACATTCCTTTTATTCATCAAATATACGACTGCTCATGACTTTCATTCAGGAATAATATTGAAATCCATATATTTAGGGTCTTGGTCCAGACCTTTTTCTGCAAGAAAAACGCCCCCAGGTAAGTATCCACAGTATTCGAATATCTGCTTACACTCATAGACTTTGAATGCACTCATAGCTGCACAAACTTCTTTCAAAATGGAGCCAGTCTCTCGGTAATTCCTTCTAAGGTACGCCTTAATTAAGCCAAAGATAATCTCTATAGGGTTAAAAAATGGGCAATATGGTGGTAGAAATATCGGTATGATGCCAATAGAGCGAAAATATCTTATGATATTGGCGTCGCAATGGATGCGAGCACCATCCAAAACCCAAATAGAGTGAAACCCAGGATACCGTTGTACATGGGGATTATTTATAGCAAAGTTTCGACAACATCTGAAAAATTTATGCCGGTTGAATGTTCCTTCCGTCCAGAAACTATCTAGCATACCATTGATTCCTAGAAAACATAAGAAAGAAACCCTAGGCTTTCTACAGAATTCCCCGCGATAAATAAGTTTCTGGCCAACAACTCCGTAGCCTTTTTTGCGCAGCATATCCTTATTGTCAATACTAACCTCGTCTAGGAAAACCAGGTTAAACAAGTCCCATGGAACTGCAAGCATTTCCTTAACAAACCGGACTATCTCATCCTCTCTGATCTGGATAGCCCTTCTTTCGATAGTCTTCCAGGTCAATCCAGATTCATGCAATATTGTGCAAATAGATGACACACTTATCGATAGCAGAAATCGCTGTTGGAATCGCTGTTTCGCTTCGTCCAAAAACAAGAAAGGCTCGTTTTGATATAGGTTGACAAGCCAATCACGCATATCGGTGCTGAATTTCTTAAACACTTGCAGGCGCTGCTTCCTTCGGAAAATTCCATCTCGCTCGTACTTGAAGAACCACTCGTAAATAGTTGATCGGCATTTTCCATAAATGATACTAAGATCCTTCTTCGATATCCCGAGAAAATAATGGCCGTAAAGCGCATGATAAACCGTGTTACTGCTGGCGTGTTGACCACGAATATTCTGAATAATTATGTTAGATTTTGTGTTTGGCTTCATATTAAATAGAGGACAATTTTTAATCAAAAATCTTGTGCGATGGGATCAAGCTAACAAAAAAAAACATTATTTATTTGCAAATCCACCTGGTGACAACAGTAATGACAGAACTTTGACATTAACACGTCAAACCACATTGTCGCGACTGAACGTCGGGTCGCAAGTCGCGCTAGCGTGGTCCGGTTTAGTGGCGGCCCGACAATAACTTGCTGTGCATTGCGAAATAAAGTACACAGAAAAAAAAGTTGTTGAATATTACATCCAAACAGCTGCACAGAGATCATTCCACCGCCCGCATAAACGCGAACCATAAATTGACCTTACCTAAAATGGTAAAAAATTGTTTATAATCCCTGCTAAACTTTAACTGAAATGGTTATGGAACTTTACATGAACTTAATGATAAAGTTTCAACCTTATGTATTATGGTTTTTTGGAACTGGACCTTACAAATAATGGGTTGTTAAGAACCATTACCATTCCAAATTCTTGTTTTCTCCATACATTTTCAGAAAGAGAACTATATAAGAACGTTTTTACTTATGATTTGAGAACATTAATGGTAATGGTTATGGTAGTCAGTAAGGTCCATTAATGGTTTTGTATTATCGCTCAACTTTACGTGGAATATATCGTGAATTGGTAATCAGTAAATTACAGGCAACCAATTCGCGATATATTCCACATAAAGTTGATCGATGTTACAAAACCATTCGTGGACCTTACTGACTACCATAACCATTACCATTAAAGTTCTCAAACCATAAGTTAAAAGGTTCTAATATAGTTCTCTTTCCGAAAATGTATGGAGAAAACAAGAATTTGGAACGGTAATGGTTCTTAACAACCCATTATTTGTAAGGTCCAGTTCCAAAAAACCATAATACATAAGGTTGAAACTTTATCATTAAACGTTCATGTAAAGTTCCATAACCATTTCAGTTAAAGTTTAGCAGGGATTATAAACAATTTTTAACCATTTTAGGTAAGGTCAATTTATGGTTCGCGTTTATGCGGGCGGTCGTGTAATATTACATTGTACGATGTACATCGATTTTGTGAACAAAATTACGTCCATTGATGTAATATTGTATCTGTTCTTTGCTATTACATCATTATTTCATACATCAGTTTGAATTACGTTGATCGATATTACATTTTTTTTTGCTGTGTGGTTTAACCACCGGTGGAAACTAACGATTTTAAATTGGCTCACTACTTGACTAGCCTATTGGTCCCAAGTACATCTATAAGCGTACCCCATTTTAGTGGAAATTCTATTACTACACTATGTTTGTTTTGATTCGCTATGGAAGTTTGACAGATGTAATGAGGGGTTCGTGGATTTTCTTATGTTTCGAGGGGTAAGTCGATTAGCTTGGGACCGAAGATAGTACCAGAGCTGAGCCAAAAAGTTGAACACGTTTCTTCGGGACCTTCGTGTCTTAGGGTTACCTCTACACACAAAGAAAATTCGTTGCTAAAATTAAAAAAACCATGGGTGAAATTGAAAGTTTGCGTTGGTTCTTTTTGGTACACACAAAGAACAAATATTGTTGCTATAAAAATAATGCAATTCTAAATTAAAAAAATTCCAAATTGTGTAGTTTTAACATTGAAAATATTCCAAACGAAAGTTATTTTTTTTTATTTAAAAGTGCTTCTTTTACTTTTGGACTCGTAATTTTAAAAGTGATTTTTTGAAATAAAAGTTGTTGAACTATCAAAAATACCTCTTCATTGCGATGTTTTTGGCAGCACTAGACTTCAGTTTGACGAGCGACACAAAACAAGGCGAAACAGCTTCCAATTGAATGGAGTTTACACTTCACTCACTTTGCTTCCACCCCAGCTTCCACCGGATTTACCAGGCAGAAAATCATTAAGGTGAGAATTTTTGGGACTGATCGCATAAATAGTTTTCATTCATTTTAATTTAGCAGAACCGGAACCGGAAAGCTAACCGGGATGCAGATTATCACTTTCAGGTTCCGACATTCTTGAAGATGTTTCGCAGGGCCAATGTTGGACTTCATCATAGTTCAGAGCACCAGATTTGGACAAACTTGACTCAACGGATTGAATTCATCTAGTATCCAGGTAATTATGCATTACATTATCCAGGAAGCAACCCACCGCCACGACGTCTTTGAAAATCGGGTAGTCATAATGATTTATTCACAGACAAACAGACGTAACTCTTCATTGTGCATCTTCGTTCATGCATTTAACGGTTGATTTGAATATTATCAGTTCCGCGAACTACTCGCCGCAGCGCTGGCATCGGATCACTTTGACGTTTCTATATATTCTATAGAAATTTCATGCAATATTGTTTACGAGTTAGCGAGCAAGCTTGTTTTCCGCGAGAAGCCAGATAGATGTCGCTACTGAGGTTATATGTTTTGAGATACTATGTTTTCAAGAACATGTTTTTCAAAGAGTTACGTCTGTTTGTCTGTGATTTATTGTTATTGTTATTTATGTTAAGTGTTCAAAATATTTCTGGATCAATGTATTAACCAAATAAATACATATATTAGAATTTAAAATGTAAAGCGACGTGATTAAATTGAAAATGCTGGTTTTTAACTGAAAATATTTAATTTTACGATTGAAAATACCCCGTCATTTTAAAAGTTTGATTTGAATTAAAAAAAAAATATTTTTCTTTCAACACTGTATGGCTTCCCTAATAAAAAATAACCATAAACGAACGATAACCCAATTCATTGAACTATTCCACAAATGGTTTGGATGATACCCAGAACACGTCGTTAAGCAAATTAACCATACAATTTTTTATTAGGGTTTTCATTTGACAGTAGTACAATTCGTTTTGAAAGTTTAAACTTTTAAAATTAATGGCCGGAAAACTTTTGAATTGACAGTTGATTGACTTTTGTTTTGAAAGCTAACTGCTTTCTACCAAAAAGAACCAATGCAAACTTTTAATTATAACAATGTGTTTTTTTTTTAATTTTAGCAACGATTTTTCTTTGTGTGTAGAATGCTGTTTGTTTTCAAAATGAAAGTCAACCAACTGGCAAATCAAAAGTTTCCCGATCATTACTTTTAAAAGTTAAAAATTTCAAAATAAAATTGTAAATTTAAATTACCTGCTCTAGATTCATTAACTGGAGCTGAAGACGACTGCATGCAATTCCTACTTACCTTAATACATTTCGACCGGTGCTATACAATAATTTCGCCGTTTCTTAGAGCGTTTGCTCCGACACTGGCACGGCTGGCATTTGGCTTACTGAGTGACTTTTACTCAGTTTGATATTTCTCTTTTACTCAGATTATGACAACCTAATGCACCAGACGAAATTGAGTACGATCGACTCACCCGGTGAGTAACCTGAAGTAAGCGTGTAGTCTATTCGGAAAAGTTGCGCGAGAGTTTCTTTGATGATTTAAAAATTGAACTATCACTGTTCAGCCCCTCCTTACAATATCATAACACATCGTAACGACTCCCAGCTGCTCATGCAAAATGTCATTGTTTTGCTGATGTTGATTGTTTTTCAATAAAAAATCGTCGTCGTTGCAGTGTTCGCTCTTTTCTGGGAAGAAAACGCAGCAACTGTTCTGAAAAATCTCAAATTTCTGTCTTGCTTCAGTGTTCCATCTTCTAGAAGTGTACCGTCGTTAGCAGTGAAACGGAACAATGATTCCACAAAGCCATTTGGAAGTGGGCGTCCGGATTAGAATCGGACAACATTACGGAACCATTCGCTACATTGGAGAGGTAGGTTGATAGAAAAAAAATATGAGTGGGTGCGGATCTTGTATTGACCTTGTTTGGGACTAATAATTCTAGGTGGCCAACACCGACGGCGAATGGATCGGTGTCGAATGGGATGATCCCCAGCGGGGCAAACATTCCGGAACGGTAAACGGGGTTGAGTACTTCCAAACAAGGTAAGGATGGGATGAGTCATCAATCTTGTTTACCCCAGCATCATTGTAACGGGATGGATTTTTGCTTTGTTTTCTGTTAGAGCTGAGAATGCAGGGTCGATGATTCGCCCGGAGAAGATTCCCACTTTTTGGACCCTGCTGGAAGCGATCCACGACAAGTACATTGTGACGAAGGATACACTCCTATTGGATGCAGAAATGATGAAGGAAGTGCAGAAGCAGCTACATGCATCGCTGTTCGAGGTGAGTGTAATTTGGTGATAAATCATTTATGGCCATTCAAGGTTGAATGCAGTCAAGTTGAACCGATTATGAGATTCGATGGAATTTGACAAATTTCCTGTTTGTGTTTATGTAATATGTAATAGGTTGTCGGAATGGAGAAGGTTGGAGGCAAGCAGAGCAACTTGAATCATCTGGTGGATGTTTCGGTGGCATATTCTCCGGTAAACTCCGCTGGAGATTTATCCTGTTTCAAAAGTCTGCATGCGTTGGACATTTCCGCGACATTGCTTTGGAATTGGAAAATCGTTGGAGACATTATGGCACAGATTCCGACCCTGGAGGAGATCAATTTGTCGAACAACCGTCTGGTCAGACCGACGGATGAAGAAATTAGTTCGCTTGTAACGAAATTTCATAACCTGAAGAAATTGATCCTAAAAAAATGTGCCCTCGGCTCATGGGCGGAATTGGTTCGGCTAGCTCGAATGTGGCCACTGCTTGAGAATTTATCGCTGGAAGATAACAACATTCGCTTGATAACGGAAGAAAGCTACGAATTTGCGCTGACACAGTTGCATAGTTTGGATCTTCAGAACAATCAGATAAACAGTAGGGATTCGATTCATGCCCTAGGGTATCTTCCAGCACTTCAAGAGTTATCTCTCAATGCAAATGGAATCGAGGAGATCAGTTTCCCAGACTGTCCACACACGGAGAAGACCGCGCTATTCCCAAAGTTGCAAATACTTTACCTGAGAGAGAATCCCATTCTGGACCAGTGTGCTGCGTTTAATGAGCTGGACAAGCTGGCCGCGTTGGAGCATTTGACCATGGATCCGGACACGAGAGTGAGTTATGAGGAAACGGTTGCACGTGTGGTTGGTTCGATTGCCAGGTTGAAGATGTTCAATCGATCCAGCATTACAGAGAAGCTTCGCCGGGACTCGGAGTGTGACATGTGGAAAATGTATGCCGTCCAGTGGGCCCACGTAAGAAATGATGCCCAGCAGCTGAAGGCGTTCTTCAAGTCGCACCGAATGTACCCGCGGGTGATGGACAGTGAGTATTGTTGACTCGGCGATATCGTAGCACTTCAACTGACCATTTTTTCTCTCTCCAAAAGGACTAGGCAGTCCGGAGCACATCCTGCCGGACAACCGAAAGGTCTCCAATATGCTGAACCTGCATCTGTTGAACGAACGTACCGGTGAAATGCGCCAAAAGAAGGTACCCAAGAGGATCAATTTGCAAACGTTGGAAAACCTCATTATGAAATTGTTTGGACCACCGGACCAGAATCCGTTGCAGCTGTCGCTCCTGGATCGCAAACGGGACGTTCGGATTCCGCTGGACAACCACGGTAAGAGTTTGGATTTCTACTCGGTCGAAGACCAGGACACGATCGTATTCTAAGTGTTGTGAAGTAGAGTATTGTTTTATTACTCCTACATTCTTTCTGTGTTTAATGGATATTGGATACGAAAATTTTGCAGTTGAAACTCGAACATAAAAAAAAAAACAATATAAAACCGTAGATTAATGCTTTCTCGTCTCACTCGTTGCCTAAATGGTTCAAATTATTTTGAAAGCTACCTAATATTTATTAGTAATTTATTTGCGCACTAAAAAGCACACAAAACTTTGACATTCAAAATTTGGCATAGGTACACCAATAATACAAAAAGAGAGACAGACATATATTCAGAAAAATTTAAATTTGTTATAGAATTTTGAAAACAGGATTTTCAAACGAATCAAAATATAAAAGCACTACAAGTTCTTCAAACCAATTCCCCCCGCGGAGTCTCACTTTTTGGGAGCAAACTGGATCACGCCATACTCGCCGGTCACCATCCACCGCTCGTCTTTAGCGTCCAGTTCGTCCGAAAGCCCTTCCGCTATCCCGCAGATCAAATCCGCCTTCACGGTTCGCAGCGTGCACAAGCTGGTGGGAAGGAAGCCTCGTAGCGCTTCCCGAAACGGTGTCGTGTAGGGAAAGTTAAAGTCACCCAACAGTTTCCGGTAGTTGAGGTCGCCCTTGAATATCAGCAGATGTGCTTCCGACAGTTCTTGGTACAGTTTTGGGTTGATGTTCTCTAGGCGATGGAATTCGTATGGAGACGTCCAAAAGTTGTCCACCTCTTTCAGCTGCAGCGTCCCGGCGTCGAAATGGGCTTGCAATCGCTTGCCAAATGCTGACAAGAGTGGGTTTGGATGAGCCATCAACGTGTTCAAGGTCCACCGCATGTCCTTGGGCGTAACATCTGAGATGTACCACGGTATGGCTTTTACGTTGAAATTTACCCGGGCCGCCAGCTGGTGCTCGATGATGAAGTCGGCCAGGCAGAGATCGGTGAACAGTTCGTAGCCGGAGTTGTCGTTGATGATGTCGATCACTGCCGAGCCGTTGGCTTTTGCCTGCCGCACGTGGTTCCACACCTCTACGGTGTGATCGCTTATGATGTAATTGTCGCAGGATTCCAGTAAACTGAATGGATCGCCGTCCTGCTTGACGTCCTGGCCGGCCGTGATGGAGAGATCGCACCGATTACCCCACAGATTCAGCTGGAAAGAACGGGAGGGGATATTTGTGTTAGAACGGACTCGACGAATTGTAGGTAGTTTTTTTTTCAGGAATAGAGTGAATTCAATTTACCGAACGAACCAACCAACATTTAGATCATTGACACCTCATGTTCTAAGTCATGTCAATGAGTTCATCATTTTAGGTTTCGACTACCTATATGACATAAAACAAGTGATTCTTGTTCAGAGCAAACACGCAGTGATAAGCAACCCTGGTGGCCGGCGCCGGTGGTGTAGTGGTAAGCTTGACTGCTTTCTCACCCCAATGGGTCTGGTTTCAATCCCAGCCGAGGTCGGTGAGATTTTACTGAGGCACAAAAATCTCTGGTCACGTCTTCCTTCGGAAGGGAAGTAAAGCCGTTTGTCCCTGTAGGATGGGTGCTATATTCTACGCAGGTGTGGAAGCTGCCTTTCCTGCACATTCGATTGCCGTCAATGGATGCACGGCGAATGAGAACGACCCAAATTTGAGTTTAGTTCACTCATAATCGCCAAAAGTGCAGAAACTCAGCGATGAGTAAATTTGTCTCATGGTTTCCTGTGGAAAACCTAAAAAATCTGCCGGAAAATGAGGAAATTGACGAAAATTTTATTCAGTCTCGGAGTTGTACCAATAGACCGAGTGAATCCAATCTTTACTTTTCTCAAATTCGGGAATTTTTCCCTGGAAAATCCTGGAAAAACCTGGGAAAACATGAGACAAATTTTACTCATCGCTGAGTTCCTGCACTTTTGGCGATTATGAGTGAACTAAACGCAAATTTAGGTCGTTCTTATTCGCCGTGTGGTTAAAATAAAGGAATAAAGAAGAAGCACTTCTGGTCCTTCTTCTTGTTGTTTTTCTTAATTCCTTTATTTAACTTTGGTCTCTGTTCAGTCCATCAGCCAATCAGGGAGTCCAATACACTGAGGCAAAAGTACTTAAGAATTCCATAACGCATATCTTATGAACCCGGATGACTTTGAATTCATAAGACGCTTATGCATTTCATAGGCGTGACTTCCCGCATAAACGCGAACCATAAATTGACCTTACCTAAAATGGTTAAAAATTGTATATAATCCCTGCTAAACTTTAACTGAAATGGTTATGGAACTTTACATGAACGTTTAATGATAAAGTTTCAACCTTATGAATTATGGTTTTTTGGAACTGGACCTTACAAATAATGGGTTGTTAAGAACCATTACCGTTCCAAATTCTTGTTTTCTCCATACATTTTCGGAAAGAGAACTATATTAGAACCTTTTAACTTATGGTTTGAGAACTTTAATGGTAATGGTTATGGTAGTCAGTAAGGTCCATTAATGGTTTTGTAACATCGATCAACTTTATGTGGAATATATCGAGAATTGGTTGCCTGTAATTTATTGATTACCAATTCACGATATATTCCACGTAAAGTTGAGCGATAATACAAAACCATTAATGGACCTTACTGACTACCATAACCATTACCATTAATGTTCTCAAATCATAAGTAAGAACGTTCTTATATAGTTCTCTTTCTGAAAATGTATGGAGAAAACAAGAATTTGGAATGGTAATGGTTCTTAACAACCCATTATTTGTAAGGTCCAGTTCCAAAAAACCATAATACATAAGGTTGAAACTTTATCATTAAACGTTCATGTAAAGTTCCATAACCATTTCAGTTAAAGTTTAGCAGGGATTATAAACAATTTTTAACCATTTTAGGTAAGGTCAATTTATGGTTCGCGTTTATGCGGGTTATGATTTCAAAAGCGTCGATGAAGTTGTAATTTTTGGATTTGAAGTCAGTTTGTCAAAATGGCAAATCATGAAAGCCTCGTGTTCAACGAACAGAAATTAATTACAAATTTAATTTCGAATGTACCGGATGTGTGCATTGGACTATTTCAGCAGGCAAAACTACACACTAAGATTTTGTTTCCGTGTTCGGTAAATTTTACCGAAATCAGAATAGCTGAACGTTCGGTAAAACTTTGACCTTCATTTTAAAGGCTAATGAATTTGAAAATAATTTCTAATCATATTGAACCTTGTTTAAATGATCAAATCTTGTCATTTTAGTGGAGATTTAGTTTCAAACTAGCTGAAAAGCAATTGAATCGAATTGCAAAAAATTTACCGAACAGCCCAACAAACAATTTGAGTTGTTCAACAGCTGAATAAGCCATTTTTTAGCTGTAGAAGCTTATTTTTATCTGAATAAGCTCTTATTTAACATTCAATGTTTGTTGGGAGTTCAGCTGTTCAGATTTCGGTAAAAATTACCGAAGTCGGCGACAATTTCTAAGTGTGTACGCTTAATAGACTTGCTAACGTTGGATGAAGCTTCTTTTTGTTCGCTGTTTTCGAATTACTCGCTTCCATTTGCAATCAAGAATCCAAAAAAACTGTATACGTAGTTAATGAACAGCCCCTTTCGTTGACGAGCGCAAAAGTACTCGCATACCAGTCCCATTGCGCACTATCGCTTGGAGTTGTTTACCTCAGACGTAAGAAGTGCATTTCGAAATTAGCATTGGATTAGTACTTTTCGCGTTGCTTGATAAGTTACAGTTTAGTAAAAATGTCAGCTCTTGAAGCAATTAAAATATGTGAGAGTTCAGAAGACGAATTCTACGGATTTGACTCGAACAACAAATCGGAGCAGTACCCGGAAGTTTTCCGCACAGCTACTTTGTTTTTAACTCGTCCAAATATTGAAGATGGGCAAGTTGGTCAGATTGATGACCGATAAAGCTATCGGTGATAACAGCAACTCTGCAAAGGATTCTGTGACCAGTGAAAGCATCGATTCGGAAGGAAGCTATTTTGTCGAACAGCGCAGAAAAAGTCGTAAAAGAACGAAAAAAGAACAACGTAAAGCTGTTGTGGAAAAAAACGTCGCACTTCTCATCCACCGAAACTTGTACCTTGTGGTTACCGAAAAGGTTGTCCGGACAATGTTTCCAAGGACGACCGAACCCACATTCACCGTGCGTTTTGGAAATTAAATATCGCTAGACTGACTGCATTTTTTCGCGAAAGGGTGGATCGCGTTGCTGTTAAAAGGAGAAGTACACACCGTCACGATTTCAAGGAACCCCGTAAACTGCATTCGTATACATTCTCGCTTGAAATGGCCGACAAACGAGTCGTGCGTGTTTGCCGTAATTTTTTCTCAACACCATTGGCTACGGAGAACATTGCGGGTAAGAAATATAAGCTATTTATTAAAAGATCATTTAAACATTTATATTGTATTTATTTCCAGTAATATAATCTATCGGTGCTTTCCTTCTGATGAGGACAACATATCTGCTAAACAGAAAATGCAACGAAAATACGTAAGAAGCACTGATCGCAAGAATGCTGTAAAAGCTCATGTATTCTTGTACAATCCGACGATTTCACACTATCGTCGTGAACATGCACCAAACAGGCTTTATCCACCAACGGGTATAACGGAGAAACAAATGTATCAATAGTACCAAGAAGCGCACCCTGAAATGAAAGTGAGCTACACATTCTTTTGCAGAGTCGTGAAGGAGCTGAACATTTCTATTGTTTAACTCGGGCTCGAGGAATGTGAAGCATGCGTTGCTGCTAAGCAACATCAGAATTTGTTGAGACACAAAACTGAAGATGGAAGACGTGGCTACTATGTTTGTGCGAAGCATGAAGAGCACATGAGCACAAACGAAGTGACAGACGGAGCGGCTCGAAAACTTTGGTGACTAACCTGCTATTGCAATTTTTTATTGTACCACATGGCAACACCACTACTAATGGATTGTACCACATGGCAGCACTAAATCTACTAGAATGTTTTGGTTCTATCTCTTTCACTCTACTCTAAACTGAAATGCATAAAAAATGACAAAATGATACACTCTTTGCACACTGTCAAAGATCATATTGCACACAAAATCAACTATTTTCAAATCAAAACAAAAATACTAGCCCATCTGGTGGATGATGGCACAAGCTTTTAAGAAAATTCTATTACTGCGAACCACATTATTTTAATTGATTTCTTCGCCAGTTAGTCGTCTGTCACTTCGTTTGTGACATGAGGCTCGCCAAGGAATCGCGTGATCAGTATCGCGCAGATGGCGACCAAGTTGAACCAGACGAATTAGTGCTAGCTGTGGACCTTCAGAAGGTGACATTTTCCAATAACATAAAAGCATTTTTTTTTTTCAAAATATTCGTTTTAGGTCATTCAGTTACCCCGACTTTAAGGTTTCAAGACGATCGTTTTTTCCCAACGTCTTCTGGTGTTCAACGAAACGTTCGCTCCAGTTGGGAACTAGCCAATTCCAACGCAGTATTAGCACAACTTCATTTGTGGTATTAGCGTGCCTGTGGCATGAAGCTGTAGCAGGCAGGTCACCAAACGACATTATCAGCTGTTTTCATCGAGTCATCAACCATTTGGCCAATCTTCGGAAAATAACATTTTGGCTTGATAACTGCGCCGCTCAAAACAAAAATTGGGGACTATTTCTTCATATGATATTGTTGGTCAACTCCCCATCAATTCAGACGAACGAAATAGTCATCAAATTTTTTGAGTCTGGCCATACTTTCATGGTGGCAGATTCTTTTCACGCTGCTGTGGAGAAAGTTATGCGCCAAACTCCGCCAGTTACGTATTCAGCGTTTGTCAATGTCATTGGAAAAGCGAAGAAAAGTGTCGAAGCATTGGATATGCAAGTAACTGATTTTTTTCAATCTACGTTCATCGTCAGTCAATACACCCTGAACCAATGTAAGAATCGGCCATACATTGACAAAATCAGGCGGATCGTAATTCAAAAGGGCAACTTGGAATTGCAGTACAGCGACTCTGTTACAGGCGACAGAGAACTCCAAAGCTGTTCTTTGTTTTAAAAAGAAACTGCTTAAGCTGGCCACCGCTGAAGGATTTATTTTGGAAAACTCTTTAAAAATCCAAGAAAATGCCTCTCGTAAGGACACGCTCCTTAATGTAATGTTGCGTCTTATCGGAGAGGAGCAAAAGTTGTTCTGGGAACGTTTACCCGTTAAGGCAAATTAAGCATAGTTAAGTGAAATTTGATCAAATACACGCACTTTATACTAACTCGGAATATTTATATTAACAAATGAAAATTTACTTCAATCTATTTTTATGTGACAAATGGGACTGTTATGCGGGTACTTTCAATGTGGGACTGACCTAGTTTGGTATTTTTTAATGTTTTGCCCATATAAAGATGTAATTTTCAGTGTGATTTCTTAAAGTTCAATGAAAATAAACACCATTGATGAAAATTCATATGGGACAGTTATGCGAGTATCGGCAGTATTACCATAGAGGTAACTCTAAGACTAGAAGGTTCCGAAATAACGTGATCAACTTTTTGGTTCAGCTCTGGTACTCTCTTCGGTCCCAAGCTAATCGATTCACCCCTCGAAACATAGGAAAAACCAATAACCCCTCATTTTATCTGTCAAACTTTCATAGCGAATCAAAACAAACATTGTGTAGTACTAGAATTTCGACTAGAATGCGATACGTCAATCGTTTGCTTGGGACCAATAGGCTAGTCAAGTAGTGAGCAAATTTAAAATCGTTAGTTTCGTATTGATTGTTGGTATTATCATAGAGGTAACTCTAAGACTAGTAGGTCCAGAAGAAACGTGCTCAACTTTTTGGCTCAGCTCTGGTACTATCTTCGGTCCCAAGCTAATCGATTCACCCCTCGAAACATAGGAAAATCAAATCACCCCTCATTTTATCTGTCAAACTTTCATAGCGAATCAAAACAAACATAGTGTAGTACTGGAATTTATAGTAGAATGGGATACGTTAATCGATTTGCTTGGGACCAATAGGCTAGTCAAGTAGTGAGCCAATTTAAAATCGTTAGTTTCGTATTGATTGTTGGTATTACCATAGAGGTAACTCTAAGACTAGTAGGTCCCGAAGAAAATCATTATTATTTTTGGGTCACTCAGTACCAGAACAACGGTCCCAAGCAGTCCCAAGCTATTTCAAATGAGGGGTTATTGGTTTTTCCTATGTTTCGAGGGGTGATTCGACAAGCTTGGGACCGAAGATAGTACCAGAGGTGAGCCAAAAAGTTGAGCACGTTTCTTCGGGACCTACTTGTCTTAGAGTTACCTCTATGGTAATACCACAGACAGACATCCCAACTAACATTTTCAGCTTTGTAAGCCAACTTTTTCAGCGTTGTGCTGTAAAGTAGCTGAAACAAAGCTGCAGATACAGCTACAAGCAGAAGCTAGCAAACTGGTTTTGGAGAGCGTTTACTCAACTTTTTCACAACCATTATTTAATTTGTCAGTCGTACTGAATAACAACAGCCAATAAACGCTAATGTTACTTGTATGCAAATATTAATCAACTTTCAACTTGTAGCTGCAAAACAAAGCTAATAAAGTAAATATATTACTCATTAGATGGCTTCTACACAACCAACCACTCTTGCTGAATAACATAAACATCAAAAGTGCTTTTTCAACCACTAAACAACCTGTACTCAGCTAATGATGATGATGATGGTCCCACCTCTTACCCCTACAAAGGTTTGAGCTGGACGATTTATCTTTAAGATAATTGAATATGACATTTTAACCAGGTTGGCAAACAAAATCGAACTGGTTTCAGTTACAGATATAGATTCCCTCTAAAGTTTACAGTTGCTTCACAGCGATATAAATGTGGAAAAGCTCAGGCGTCCACCTCTTAGTTCGCCTTTTTGTCCACCTAAAATATTCATAAGTATTACAAGCAATCAAGAGTTAATGAACAATCAACAAAGCATCCTATTACACTAGTAACCCCGCAATCTGATGCTATCATAATTTTCAGCAATGTCAGGAATGCTCACGAACCCCCAACATTTGCCAGAAAACTTACTACTAACTCAAAGTATCTTCCAAATAAGCTTCAAAATTGCATTTTTTTTTATCAAATGTTAAATTCAGTCCTCTATATCCGTAATACGCGCGCGAGGCTCAAACCTTTGTAGACTACTTTTTTTTTTAATTAATCTACTATAAAATCATATATTAAAAATCCATCATCACCCTCGTGGCGAACAGAAATAGTTTTTGCAGTGCTACAATAATTATTAAAAAGTCGTTATGACAGCTATCCATATAAAATAATTCGTTAGTGATAACTTCGTCAAGATACATAATTTGTCAATTCATAAAAAAAATCACTGGATAACTGTTCAAAAGACAGTTTTAACGTGTGAAATGCAGTGTCTTTTAAATTCTGTAAGTGTTGCTAAACGTTTGATATGTCTAGGCATCGAATTGAAAACATTTATTCCTTTATAATATAATGAATTTTGTGAAGCACAAGTCAAGAAATGTGGTGTTCTTATTTCAACCGCGTTTCTAGTATTATATCTATGAAAGTCACTTCCTCTTTCAATTCGATCACACAAATATCGAGGCAGCAAACCGTTAACTACTTTAAAAATGAACACCATAGTCAAATATACTGTGTTAGCGCTACTCTGGAAGCTATTTTACAGTCAACTAGGTTTATTTTTAGACTTGTGCAGTTTTACAGCTTTTACTCTGCTTCTATACAAAGCTGAATTAACTAGTCTAGAAAAGTGATTCGTGTGCACTATTATAAAGTCTCTACTCAGCAATCTTGTTGTGGCTTAACCACCAATTCGGGATATCATCCCAACTTTATGTTGTATGGTCGTACCTTCTATGATATCGTTAGTGTATGGTAACGGTTTATTAGGGCCTGCTCAACTTTTTGGCTCAGCTCTGCTACTCTCTTCGGTCCCATTGCAACGGTACTAATGGATATTTTTGGTCGCTATTGAAAATTTAGTCGTTTGCTGAATTTATGTATGGGCCCAAATTAGGGGCATTTAGGCCGACATTACATCCTTTTCCCCTACATAGCTTGATCGGAATTGAGAAAAGATAACAAAAAGTTCCCATTAAGGTTCAATTTACTTTGATGCTTTTTGGAAAATTTCTAAAGCAGTTTTTTCCGACGCATTATTTCAGATTGCAAAAAGCTCACACTATTCGATTCCTTTTGATATTTTACACAAAATGACGCGAGCTTTTTGCAATCTAGAATAATGCGTCGAAAAAAACTGCTTTGAATTTTGCATCAAAGTAAATTGAACCTTAACACACATGTACCATCTTCAGCTTTACTTCGTGAAGCAGCTTGTCAACAATTTGTCGTTTCGTTGATACGACTCGTTGATATTTTTGATTCCTTGGTTGGGGATGACAAGTCGACAATGGACAACATCAGGATGAATCCGATCGAAAATAATTGTAGGAACCTAAGAGATAAAATACTGAAACTGACCGGTCTAGGTGAATTCTCGGATGAGTTCTAGGGAGGCTTCCAAAGGACATTCCAACTTGAATTTCTAGATGGTTCTGACTTTGAAAATAAACCCAAGGGAATAGTGAGAAGAACTTCAAGGAGAGTTCCAAACAAAATTTAGTATTCGTCATGGGAATCTGGTCTAGAGCTAAATCTATATGTAGCCTAGTAGCATTTACATTTCAATCATCGCAACACAGATTGACACTCACCTTCAACATTTTGCGGAAAAAATCTCCAATTTCCTCTTCACTTTTGCTAGCCTTGTCCTGGTTGAAGTGTTCGATCGATTGCAGCACGGCACCCATAGCATCGTAGGAATTCGTTAGAGCCTTGTGCTTCTGCTGTTGGAAGTAATCCAGCTTTTTCAACGTGGTTCTACAATCGAAATGACCATCCATGAACTTTATCCTGGCGCTCAATCGTATCCACCGCAACTTACGTGCTCTCGAAGATATTATGCAACCGCCTGTACATGTAGGTCTCCGCATATAGCCAGCACGCCGAATAGTAGGTGTTATCATCTCCAAGGGACCCGATGAAATCGTTCCACACCTGGTCATCTCCAAGCTCGCTGGCAATCGGTCTAAATTCCTTATCCGTCTGCAGTTCATACTTGAGTTTAGAGATTTCACCGATCGCTTGCTTCAGCTCTTCGCGGGCGTCCTGCGAGGATGGGCGATACAAAAAGCAAGCATTCAGCAGTTTTGTTTGTTTGTTTGTTTATGTAACTAATGGGATTATTTTTTGGGAGTTGGTATATACTACCTCACCGAAGTGCTGCACGACTTCTTCCTTGTCCTTGGACAGCTGATCAATCACCTGAGTCAGGATGACCGGCAGGCGCTCCTTCATCGTGTAATACGCGAAGCCCCTAAAATCGACACAAGTAGCGACGAAAAAGGGTTAATTGGATTTTCTTCCTGGTGAAGGTACAATAATTATAACTTACTGCTTGTACTGGGCCTTGAGGGGAACATTGTGTGGAGGTTTGTCATCGATTAAGTTGTACTTGGTTTGATATTCTTCCATTGCTTTGCTAAAACTAACAGCCTATAAAACGGCAGAAGACTTGTATAAATGAAAATGAAAGTAGGACCTACTATGAGAATGTTCTTTTACCAAATAAGGGAAAAAATATCTGCTTACGTTTCTACTGTTCTCACTGCTTAACTACACTTGAGAACGTGACGTGGACAGTTTGTTAAGCCGAGTGACTAGAATTGACACACAATAAAGCTAATATTCACAATTTTAACTTAAACTAATAGCCGTAAACTAGCGGATTATTTATTATTTTCCAATGCACACACAGAAAGCAAGTCGCAAAACGGATCAGCTGTTTTGCTTCAGATACACGCGCGTGAAAGTGAATTGACATTTAACGCTAGCCAGGGCCGCATCCGCAGATTTCGAAATCATTCATGCTCGCATTTTGTGAGAACCAGCCTAGCGCATCTGTCATCCGCAATTCAAAACAAAAGCGACTTGAAATGCTTGAAATTCGCTTCGCGTAAAGTGTTTCGATAATTTCCTGGTAATTTTGCGAGTTTTTCGAGTGCCTAATCTTTTGAAAATGTGCCTCCCGGAACGGGGACAATTTGGAGCACAAAGTGGAAACGTTTAATTATGTCGGCCAATTTCACCTGTCGTGTTTGCGGGAATGTTCCGATAGTGGAGGGTAAACCGAAACCGTTTGACGAGGTAGCTGCCGTGTACTATAAAATTACGGACCTTCAGGTAAGTGAAATTCAGTTCATTTTAGGGACCGTAGTAACTTTTAGACGATAATGATTCCAATAAGCTGTAATACTGCTACAGTTTCGCTAGGTTTGTTAATTTTAAATTCAATGTATATTTAAAATCTGAAGGTAAACAATAGCACAGATAACTGGCGGTCAGATGAAAAACAAACCATTAAAATTAAAAAGGAGTATTACAGACGAAACAGGAATGTCAGCCCTAATAAAAAAAATACCATTAACGAACGATAACCCAAATGATAAAACTATTCAACAAATGGTTCGGATGATATCCCGAACATGTTTAATAAGCATAAAAAGATATTAGGGAGTTGTGTTGAGAAAAATCTGAAAGGAATAAATTTGGACAGGCTTTAGTACGATTGATTTATTGCAATAATCACCAAACATAAAAATAAACGGTTCTGATGGAAAGCATACTTCAATCAGGCTAAGGCCTTGTTGTCCTGTACTGTCCGAAGAAGTCGTCTCCACTCTACTCGATCCATGGCCACACTTCGTCTGCTGTGCGCCTCTTATTCTTGTTCCTGTTGGGTCGCTTTATTATTGTTTTACATCAACAGGCTAGATGAAGCCCAATTGATGTTAACCTTATCAACTATAGCTTTAGAGAACCATTTTCATTGGGTCGTCGTGCGGCATTCTTGCGACGTACCCAGTGCACCGTAGTCGCCCATTTTTTGCAATGTGGACGATGGTTGGCTCTTCCCACAAATTGTGCAATTCGTGGTTAATTCGCCTCCTCCACGTTCGGTCATTCATCTGCACTCCACCGTAGATTGTACGCAACACCTTCCGTTCGAAAACACCAAGGGCCCGTTGGTCCTCCACGAGCATAGTCCAGGTCTCGTAGCCGTAGAGGACCACCGGTCTAATCAGCGTCAAATTCGTGCGGCGGCGAATTTTATTCGACCGGAGCGTCCTGCGGAGTCCAAAGTAGGCACGATTCCCTGCCATAATGCGTCTTTGAATTTCTCTGCTGGTATCATTTTGGACCGACGGCTCTGGAGCCCAAATATACGAACTCGTTGAGCACCTCGATGTCGTCACCGTCAATCTGAACTCGGGGTGGGAGGCTAACGTTGTCTTCCCTAGAACCTCTTCCTCTCATGTATTTCGTCTTCGATACGTTGATGGCAACTCCAATCCGCCTAGCTTCAGCCTTCCATCTGATGTACGTTTCCGCCATCGTCTCAAAGTTCGTCAATATCATCGGCGAAGCCAAGAAGCTGGATGGACTTGATCGTGCAACTCGTGTCTATCCCAACTCTTCTGATCACACGATGTTAATTAGCAGACATGAAATTCCATCACCTTGCCGTAACTCCCTTCAAGAATCCAAGGGACTCAGTGTCCCCGATATTCGAACAACGCACATCACTTGATCCATCGTCGCCTTGACCAATCGCGTCAGTTTATCCGAAAATCCGTACTCGTGCATAATCTGCCATAGCTGATCTCTATAGATAGTGTCGTATGCGGATTTGAAATCGACGAACAAAGGATGAATTCGCGGCATTTCTGCAGAACCTGCCGAATCACGAAAATTTGGTCCGTGGTAGCGCGGGCTCCCATGAATCCCGCCTGGTATTGCTCCACGAGCTCTCTTGCAAATGGTGACAGGTTGCGCTCAGCAGTGTGATCGCGTGGTAGTTGCAGCAATCCAACGTGTCGCCCTTTTTTGTAGATTGGCTATACGACACCTTCCATCAACTACTCCGGTAATATCTCCCCAAGTAACCAACAAGCCCGCTAATTTGCCTTTTTGCAATATAAGGCTGATACACGGCTAACATAGGGCATGCTAAGCTTTATATTAGGTGAATTAGCGGGCTTGTTGGTTACTTGGGTCCTCCTTCCAAATCTTGGTAATTACCCAGTGGAGCGCTCTAGCCAGTGCTTCACTACCGTATTTTAATAGCTCACTTGTTAGTTTATCTAGGTACTCCAGTTTTTGTTGTTGTTCTTCAACCGACCGATCTCCTCCTCAATTTCTTGAAGATCAGGGGCCGGTAGACTGTCGTCTTCTGCTCGTGCTCCAAGGTCTGTTGCCATGCCACTTTAGTTTACTGCTGCATCACCGTTGAGGTGCTCGTTATAGTACTGCTTCCACCTCTCAATAACCTCACTCGTTCGTGAGAAGGTTACCTACCAATTCCTTGCACATATCGGCTTGCGGCACGTAGCCTTTGCGCGAACTATTTACCTTCTCGTAGAGCTTCCGTGTATTGTTTACGCCTCGCGATCTCGGTCTTCCTAATGACGATTCTTCCTTCGGAAAACCGAGTTTTGTCTGTTCCGCGCTTGTCTGTATCGCTCCACATTCAATGTCGTGCGGTGTTGCAGTATTCTCGCCCGTGCTACATTCTTCTCCTCTACTAACAGTTTGCATTCGCCGTCAAACCAGTCATTTCTTCAGTCCGGGATCGCAGAAGTACTACATATGGCGGAACGGATGTCCCTCCAGCAAAGGTATTTAATTAACAAGATATCCCACTAATCAATTCCTCGAACAAGGCCATGGATATACATCCCTTATGTGAGTGCAGTGCTGTCTGGTAAGTGCACATTTAAACTGTTGGGAGTCCCCCGCCAACTTCACCACCTGGGCTTAACAACTGACAGGTATCAGCATGACAGATACCAGCGCGGACGTTGATGATCAGCCGAGGGAAGATAACGATAGCATCCTCGATGTCATCATCATTATATTGTGATAGCAAGATTCTCACGTTTTTGTTATTTGTTACGATTTTCAATCATTACCACTTAATACGCAACAGAAACACTTGAGAAAACAATCACGCATCCAAGCTCGCATCATGATGGTTTTGTAATACATTTTTCTTTTAGAGTGAAAGAGTTTTCAATATCCCCACCGGTACGAGGGGGACGACTCTATCTACGATGCAGAAAAGATTGTGTTTTGCTGTGGCTAGCTGCACGCACGCTGAGTAGATAGAAGGAAGATTTATGTCGATTTTGAAGATTTCCTGCAAAAAGATGAAGCACGATGCAAGTAGATGCGAGAAATGAAAGATGATTTTCCGAAGATTGATTCGCTAGTGTGAGATTTTTTGAGCATCTAGAATTGAGATTTAGATGTGTCACCCCCCTCGCACCGGTATCAGTAAGATGCAAATCTCTAATAGTAGTTGATGATTTGTAATTTTGTAATTTGTACTTTATTGATAGCATAACGAAAACCTGTCAGTTACAGAACCATAAATCAGGTCAAGGAAGCAACCATTTTGAATCAGTTTAGTGGGGAGTTAAGAATGAAATTAAAGTCTAAGTCTAAACATTTGACATTTCTTAAATCGACAGCTACTTTTGGTATTAGCCTAGAGAATTAATCAGCTCTGTGGAGCGCCGCTTTAAGCGACGTGAGAGTCCGTTGCTGCCTTGTAGCTAGTGGTAGTGCGTTCCAGGTGGACGCTCCGAATATTAGTACACTTTTTCGGGAACTTGTGGTGTGATGCGGTAGGTTGCTCAAAATAATATTTATAATCATAGAATTAGCGTGGAAAAACATTCCCTCTCCCTAAAGAATTATTTCAAAACCCCAGCCACTGGAAATAACGTTTCGAAATCATTGCTAAACAAACGTATTAAAATTTGCGGTCTTCCTTGACCAACGCAGCCCGTATTCTATTCAAAAATTACGTTGATTCCTTTCTTCGTTGGAAGGTATTAGTCAACGCCGCCGAATGCAAACGCAAACGGAAGCCGCCGAAGCTGAGTGATGACACAGCTTCGTGTTTTGATTTGCACTGTACCGTCCGCTCAGTGGTGTGGGTTCGTACATGCATAGATGATGTCGGTGCGCGTCTTTCCTTCCAACGCCGCAGTTCAACGTTGTCTCGCCACAAACCGTTTGGCGCTGTTATCTGTCTCTATAAATTCAAAAGAATGAAGGGGGTCTGCTTCAACGCTAATTTCAAACCTTGCCGGCTGGAGAAAGTGTTTGATATTCCAGATTTATTAATCTGAGCGTTTAAAGAAGTCAAGGGCAATTCTCAAAAGTTAAAACAAACTCTGAAAAAAAAATCGTTAAAGTTAACCCCCCTGAACTTTAACGAATTTTCAGAATTTATCTTCAAAACGCTTCAGGAAACTTCGTATAAATGAAGCAAACTAACAAATATCTATATTAACCATAAACAGTGTACATCGACCGATGCAATGTTACACAACCAATGGAATGACCTATGTGCACCTAGTTCGATGTAATATTCAGCAACTGTTTTTACTGTGTATGAATCAATTACTAATAATAAATTTATGTTATAACTTTTCTAGATAGTCGATGAATCAGCACTTCCCAAGTTTGTGTGTCAATACTGCTATGGAAAATTGGTAGGAATAGATTGGTTTCGTAAGATGTGCATTACCTCTTATGATAGACTAGCAAATCCTAAAGTAAGTACGGCGACATACGTCATTAGAAATGATTTAATTTCAAACATTTTCCTTGTTCCACCAGCCAACCATGTACAATCAACCATTTGGTTCTATGAATAACGAAGTACACAATCGTGGAGCATTCGAGATGTTCCCCAACGAACGCAGGTAATTTATTGATTTTTTTTTAAATTTCATTGCCCTAATTCACTGAAATTATAGAAATCATTACCCACCAAATCCGATGCAAAGCTTAGAACGCGCAATTCATAGTCATGAATCCTCATTGAACTATTCTCATCCGCAACCGCAAGATATAGTGGCGCCAAATATTTCAAATCCCCACTTGGCATCTGAACAAATGAATTCGGCTTTCAACAGCGCTCAGGTGAAGAATAATCTCATCCGTTGGTAAACATCCCATAATTCCTTCATTTAATTTCCTGCAGATACCACAGGAGCAACCGGTCGTTCCGTCGAGCTCAAACAATAAGAAAAAAGTAACATCCGCTTCCAATTCCGATTTGGTTTCGATCCATCAACGGTTGGATCAAATTGGGTCTAAAATGGACGTTCACAGTGCTATATTGCAGCGACTTGAACTGTTAATAACTAATGGCTCATATGTCAAACCACACGAGTCGGTAAGAGACGATCTGAGGCAGCGCTGCAGTGAAACGTTCGAAGAATTCGAACAAATGGCAAAGATTGAAACTGCACAACAGTTAACCGAGCTGGATGTCAATCTGGCTAATCCGGTTTTTGAGGCAAAGTTCTTCCGATACTTGCAGTCAGTTTATAACCTTACTGGTAAACGGGAAGGATTTCCTTTCTTCAAGACGGTAGTACGCAGGCTGATAGTGCCGACCGTATTGCTACCGTATTCATGGAAAGGAAACAGTCGGTCCAAGAAAGGAGATCAAGCTTCAGTTGTCGTGAACGATAAAAACTATAGTTTTAAGAACATGTTCCCAAATTTCGTGCGATTCATCTATCGGGTCGTCAGTGCCGCTGATATTGAGTTTACCAGTGAGGATAACGAGAAAGCATTCAGTGATCATCTTCGGCAGAAAAATACCGAGGTGAAACGGTTCATCGAGTCAAATGGAATGCAGCGGGAGGCTTGCAATCGGAAGCGTAGAAGAAGAGAACCAACGAAGGATGACGGTGTTGGTTTGGAGCATGTGCTCTGTGTAAACGACACTACAGATGGCGATTTCAGTTATGACGAAGAAACGTTTTCTGATACTGGTGGCGAAAATATTAATATAAAACAGGAACGATTGGAAGCGCTAGGTTCCAGTGAACCGGAGGTAGGTGGAAAATTCAGCAACGGATAGAGAAGGATCAGCTGATTGAATACTCAAATATAACATACCATGGTTTTTAAGGTAAACACATAAATTCATCAAACAGCGTTTTTTTTTTCGCAGAATCTGATTTTATTACGGCCTTTTTTATAGTCTTACGCATTAGTATGGAACTTAGCGCCTAGCACAAACTTTAAGCACTACCACATCTATACTAATTGAGAGTTTTCTTGGAATATTATTTTTTTGCAATATACGTTAGGCTGGGACACGGATATATGAAAAAAAATAATTCTCGTTCCAGTATGATTTCCGGACGCCTTATGGGTCCTAGAATAACATTGTAAAATTTCAGGTCGGTCGGTGGAACTATATTTTAGCGCCAGCGCTTTTAATTTTACATAGGATTTTCTATGGGAAAACTTACTTTTTCAAATAAAAATCTGGTGAGGTCACCCATTGTCATCTAAAAATAAATCAAACCTACTATTTCCTAGGAAATTTTACAAGGATACTTTTCTTCCAAGACCGCAAAACGATCCAACGCTTGTGGAAAAAGTTATTTAGCCATTACTGATTGCTAACCAAACGAACTGTTCATTATTCTTTTTTTCTAGCAGCACTGCCAGCTGCCGCCTGCTGCTGTTTGCGCGAGGCAGTCACGTTGTGTGGGGGTTCACTCAGCATGGAGGAAAGCCGATATCATGCGCAAAGAATCTTCGATTTTAATGAAACTTTACACATTCCGGTATAGTACAACAATTATGTTTCACGGGGGTCATTTGGAAACAAGCGTGATTTTTCACAAGGGTGTATTTGTGAATTGTACAATGGGTGTACAATTTACTCAAACCTTATCAGTCGATGCTGCTCAGACTTCAATATTTCATCGGCTTCATTTTTCGGTGGTGCTCCACAACTTGCAGTAGGTATTCATGTTGTTCGGGATTCTTTGCGCCTTCCCACCCTTTCCACGACATCATTCACAACCCCAAGAGCTTTAACTCGCTGCTGCGCTGTTAAGTAGAAAAAAAACCGCCGTCACTTTCAATAATTTTAAATCACTTTTTTTGTTCAAAATCGAAACAATGTTTATGAAAATATACACGCAGAAAAATGGATTTTTGTTTCAGGGCCTAATGTATTTTGTTATTGATTCAAACATATTGTATCACTATTTCAACAAAACATATTTTTGAATCAACAAAATGGTTTTTAGAATCAACAAACAGATTATTGACTCTGCAACCGGTTTGTTGATTCAAAAATATTTTTCTTTGAATTAACCTAATAATATATTTGAAACAATTTCAAAAATATATTAGGCCCTGAGTCAAAAACATATCCATTTGAATTTAAAAACCATTTCTCTGCGTGTATCACTCTCTTTAGGTTGGTAATAGTGAAAACATTTTCATGAACATGACACATCAACAAAAAATCCCTCCCCTTGGCTAGTTTTTGCACCTTGCTGTTGGTGGGCGGGCTTAATTTCATGCTAGTGGAGTGTTGGAGACGGTGGGTTTATGGTCGGCGTTGCTGGCTCATGCCGCGATAGAATGGCGTCATGGGCAGGCAATGGGGACTACTAAGCTTCCCCTCTCTGATAAACCACTGCATGAGAGAACCAAAGATCTAGTCTAGCAGTGATAGTATCACACTTGTTACTCCTTTAATTGAGAGCCGCGTCGTAGTACGCTTAGGTATAGGCACTGACGTTGGGTGCGATACTGGCGGGTTTTGCCGCAAATCACTCTTATTTTATTTATTTTTACGCAGATAGATTTATTTGGGTTTGCAAGGGAATTATACTATTGAAATATTTCAGAAAGTGCCCAACGGTGCTCCTTCTATTTGCGTGACAAGCTTTCATTGTTGTTTTCATTGAAGTATTACTCAGGAAACAATGTTAAACATCATTTTTGTACATGGTATTGTATAATGAGAGAGAGAAGGATTAGTAGCCAGTAGGAAAATACTAATCCTTCTCTCTCATTATACAGGTATTCCACTAAGACGCCAACATTCATCAGGATTCATGGTATTGTAACTAATCTTATATGTGCTTCATTTTGATTTGGGATAAGTGTTTGAACTATGGCTCGGGATTTCCACTGTGGTGTGCTTCTATTGTGACATACCCATATGTATTTTTGTGGTGCCACATAGTGGAAGCGTGAGAGCGTAATTGGAACATTTACCCTCTACAGTATACAATTTAAAATTAGTTTGGAAACTAAGTTCAAAGTGAAGCATTTTAGTCACTTGAAGGTATCACCTGGGACGAACAAAGATATAATTAATATATGTCACAGCTAGAAGTACTTGAGACACGTTAAATTTTAGTTTAAAAGCATGGGTTACACACTTAATCTAGCTCGGTAAAATCTCCATCAGCCGATTACCTCGGCATTTACTTTTGCTGATATATCTGCACATTATCTGTTTGTTAGCTGATATCTCAGCAAAATGATATTTGTTAGCTGAGTGGGGGAGGTTGTTCATTGAAACTTCCGGTCCGCTTCGTAGCATAGTGCTTGCTAAGAGGTGCCAAGTGGTAACCCACTGATTACCTGACGATCGGCCAAATTTGGAAGACGTCTGCATTGAATTGTCTCACATTGTAATATTCCGCCCACTATATCACAATCAATTGCGAGTAGCTGAGCGGAATGGAGACAAGGAAAGCATTTGGTACAGTACCAAGTCTCTCCCGGCTGGCGCCAAAACAATGAACATGGAAGCAACTGGATCAAGTTGTCATGGGGCACGAAATGATCCTGTTGCATGGCTTGGAGCTGTTGCAATCGAGGAGGGGGGGGGGGGGCGAGGGGGGCGACACATCTAAATCTCAATTTTAGATACTCAAAAAATCTCACACTAGCGAATCAATCTTCGAAAAATCTTCTTGCATTTCTCGCATCTACTTGCATCGCTCATCAATTTTTTGCAGGAAATCTTCAGAATCATCATCAATCTTCTTTCTATCTACTCAGCGTGTGAGCAGCTAGCAACAACAAAACACAATCTTTCCTGCAGCGTAGATAGAGTCGTCCCCCTCGGGGGGGGGGGGGGGGCGTTTTGGTGCTAATGTTTGATTTGTTTTTGTATAATTTCAGGTGTTAAGGTGGCCCACTGACTCTGGATAGTGGCACAGAACAGAAGGGGAAGTGCAAACAAATCGGTGAATCAAAAATGGTTCGTTTTTCTGCTCAACAAGCGATGTGTTGTGGTAGCGTTCCACACGGGCTTTCTATGTGCACTCACACTATCATAGCATGCTGCCTATCTTAACTGCAGGCAGAAGATGCCTTCTACCGCTAGGTGCGCTAGTGTTCGCAAATGACAAGTGGAGCCACTTTCAGATCCGAAGTTCCACTCCTGTGATAGTGGGTTTGACGGTGGTTCAGCAAGAATAATATTGAGACATACGGGAATGCAACAAACGTGTCAAATTAACTGCATTGGTAACGAAAACACAGAGGAGCGTACTCCTGATGTCACACACCAAGGTGATGGTAATAAGGTCGGTGATAATATGACATTTACACAAAAGCGGAGATCAAATCAGGTTGGTCAACGTACCAAAATTCGAAACTTCGATTAAAACGTGGAATCTGTGCAGCACCAGTGCTGCAGGTCTCATCAACCGCTGCCTGCGGTATATAACTTGTGGCTGGTGGCCTCACAAATGGATCTCAGATGTAAATGTCATCAGAAGCCGATAGCAATAGAAACGAAGTCTGCAGGCAAGCGTTTCATTATGAATTAAATCCGCCAGAACATCGCAGCAAAGGCAAATACTAAGGCCACGGAGCGTCAACAAGTAAATTAAGCAAGCCGATAGGAATTTGTCTTGGGACCAGGTCAAGCAGCTGCCCAGAATGGAAGTCTTTCACGTTGGCCCTGTGCACCTCTTGATGTTCCCAGGTATTTGAGTACGACGACGATGGACGTTGCCCCTTGGAACGGAATGAAAGCGAATAAACTTGATGTTGCACAACAAGCCAACGTGTTTTTTTTCTTCAGCAAAACAACAACATCCTCTATCTCTCTTCTTTATTCTTTTAATCTCTTACTATCCCCTAATCGGACGCTAGTGGGACCAAAAAGCCTGCTAGTGAAAGGAAAGTCGTTATGCTATACGGTCTAGCATAGGCCACGACTAAATTTCCGTAGGTTCATGCCTGGCTTAAGGGCAGATCAGTAGGCAGTAGCCTGCCAGGGTGTGAACTGAGCAATAACAATAACAATAACAAAAATTATATATGTTAGCTGAGTCTCGGCAATTGTTTTACTGAATCTCAGCAAAATAAATTGCAGAACTACTCGGCTGTTGGAACCTCGGCGAAATTTTTTAAATATTTTCACCGAGATTCCAACAGCCGAGTAATTCTGCAATTTATTTTACTGAGATTCAGTAAAACAATTGCCGAGACTCAGCTAACAAAGAACATTTTGCTGAGCTGTCAGCTAACAAACAGATATTTTGCAGAGATATCAGCAAAAGAGAATGCCGAGGTAATCGGCTTTTGGAGATTTTAACGAGCTAGATTAAGTGTGTACGAACAAGTGAAGTTTTAGGAAAGATGTGTTAAATATGTTGATAGGTTTGAAATAAGAATTACACTTACCCTTATGTGTTCCACACTTCGATTTGCGCAAATTGCTAAACACATCCATTTCATGTATTTATCTTATAAATTATTCCCGAACACTATAAGTTCAATTGTGATACACTTGGATTTCAAGTGTCTCACATTTTGTTATCGACAGTCTGACACTTAATCATCAAATCAGTGTCAACATTTCAAAGGGGTGTAATTGCTTTTGTAAACAATGGCTTTAACCGTCGATTTCTCTTTTGATGTTATTCTCAGTTATTAAATAGGATTTACTTACCATTCCTGATCAGTTTTCTGTTTTAAAGATGATCCAGCCAAAGGGCTGAAAATCTATCTAATGAAGCCAAAAATAAAGTTTTATTTCAGATAGAACTGACCAACTTCTTCACACCGGCTGACAAATTGATCGCTACTGGTAAAAGTAATTATTGTCAGTAAATTA